GATGAAATGAAGAAGGAAACTTCAACCCTTTGCATGAAAAATTTTCAAAATTATAACTTAACCCCTATATTTTGATATCATGCTACGTTGGCCCAAAAATTGGAAAAATATAATCAATTTTGTCCTTTCAAAATGTTAATTTTCTTTGGTATGTTTTAATGTGATTTTTAGATAGATTATTTGTGAGTTTTAGGTTGAAATTTGAAGGTTTAACAAATTTTTGATAGATTTATAGTTTTTGATTTGGATTTTTGTAAAAATGGTTTAGATTTGGGTAATATTTTTTGTTTGGGGTTTGGTGAGAGGGTTTTGATTTATTTTTGTGAATTTTAGCATTTGGTTTTGGTAGATTTCATCTTAAATCCTTAAATGATTTTTTTTAAATTCGCCCCTTAATATTTGTAATAATAATAAATTAACCTCTCAAACTTCTAAATTATTTCAATTAGGTCCCTACTTGTTTTAATTTCTTGAATATGGGTTGTTTACTTTCATTTAAATGTTTTAATTGTTCAATTTCATGATTATTTTCATCTCTTATGATTATTTGTTAATTAAAGTGGTACCTTAATCATTCTTTTGTGATTGGAGGGTAGAAAGGGAAATTTTGTTTCATTAGATCACCAATTCAAGGGAGGTACACCCTACTCCTTTATATTGATTTTACTTGATCCTATGTGCTTCTATGTAATTTTATGTGTGTAATTGCATTTTTTTTGAATGTTTATTTTATTTATTTATTTATTCACTTTATTGGTTTTAATTTTGTGTATTTATTTTAATTAAATTTTTAATTATTTGGAAGGCAATTAAATGCCAAAATTGTAAGAGTTAGATTATTATTTTATTTTATTCTTTACCCTTTTAGATTGTAATTAGGGTTCCCAAATATAATAGTTAGGTCTCCATTTGCTCTTATTTGCTTTATGTGTTTGCATGCTTATGTGCGCTTACGTGTTTACTCGCTTTTTCTAGGACCTTTGCATTTAGATATCATGTTTATGTGCTATGTGCTATATGTGATTTATGTGTTTATTTGCTTTATTATATTTTATATATTTTATTTGATTATGATAAATGCATGACGTCACCACACTAGTCTAACGCTAGTTGTGGTCCTTTTTTCCGATTCCACACTAGTCCAATGCTAGTTATGGCCCATTTTTTTCGATTTTTCACTAGTTCAATGCTAGTGAGAACTTATAAACATGAGTTAGTCTAATACTAGACCCTTAGGGACCATTCACGCGCTCAATCATGTTTATGTGACAATCACTACATTTTCATGCATATTTTCTACTTTTTAGGGTTTTTCATTTTTGCATGACATTTCCCTTATATGTTTAACTCTTATCCCATATTCCCCCTATATGTGTATCCCTTATCCCATATTCCCACTATATGTATATCCGTTATCCCATATTTCCCCTATATGTATATTACAAACCACTATGTGTGAAACATGACATGTAGACTTGCATTCCATTTAAGAAAATTCAAATTAGGTTAGATCATTTGCTTGATTAGATAAGAGAAATACCCCTCGAATATGGGATATAGACGAGTATGGCTCTCTAGCCTTAACACACTCGTATTCCCTCTATTAAAGGGAAAATTAAAGTCACGAATTTTAGCCCCCCACACCCATTATGATGCATTCCTTTAGATCATGTATATTTGTATAATTATTATTTTCTTTTCTTTCCTTCGAGTCTCATATTTTTGCATATTCGTGACTTCTTCAAAGAGTCAGCTTGGACATCACAATTAATGTGATTTGCACCAATTAAGTTTTGAAGAGATAGTTTGACCCCCCAATATCCTCCTAGATTTAGGTTTTGCATTCATATAGTAAACATCCAAATGTGATAAGTTTTTAGGTTAAATTAAGAAAATTTTTTACTAAATCACGCAGCCAGTCTTGGCTAGGTTGAAAGGGTGCCTTGGATTTTATCCTTGCCTTCCCTTTCTTCAAATGTGACTCCCGACCCCTTTTCTCTTGATTTTTGCAGATTTGGAATCGTTTAAAAAGAGTTTTCTCTACTTTTTCTTTAAAAATTTATTTTAGGTGACTTGGTACACCTTCACTCAATACCAAGTGGCAACTCCTATTTTTTCCTTAAAAACCCTTTTTAAACTATTAATTTGGGCCAAAATCGTCGCATTTTTAAAGTCCCATTAAGGCTCGTTTTCTTTATTTATTTTCTAAAAATCAAAAACTCATTTTTCCCTCAAAAAATTCAGTTTGATAACTTGTAAATTTATTTATTTTTCATTAAAAATAGGGCGCGACAGTCTCCTCCTCCTCTAATATAGATTTTTCCATTATACTTCAATATACCATTTTAGTAGCTATACTCAGAGTTCTCAGCAGGTGCCAACAATAAGCTTTGAATTTTAGCTTGTACATCTGCATCCTCGCTGTAGCTATCAATAACTTCTTACAACCAAGCTGGTGTTGCGGTGGTTAATGCTACACATTCCGTTTGATCCACCCCTCTCCTAGACAATGCGTCAGCCACTACATTCTCAGCTCCCTTCTTAAACTGTATCTCGTAACTCAACCCAAGCAATTTAGTAAGCCATTTTTGCTGCAAGGGAGTAGTGATCCGTTGCTCCAATAAGAACTTCAAACTCTAGTGATCAGTTTTTAGGACAAAGTGATGGCCCTCTAGATAATGCTTCCATTTGTTAATAGCAGTTACCACAGCTAGTAATTCTTTCTCATATATGGACATGCCTAGGTGCCTTAGTCCTAGAGCTTTGCTTAGATAAGCCAGTGGTCTTCTTTTCTGCATTAGAACTGCCCCAATAACCCCATAACAAGCATCTATTTCCACCACAAATGGCTTGGTGAAATCTGGAAGTGCTAGCACAGGAGTTGAACTCATAGCTAGTTTGAGTAGTTCAAAAGCTTCCTTTGATGTCGTAATCCCATTTTCCAACATTTCCTTAACTAGTCTCTCAACTTCTGCTTTCTGAATGTAAGGGATCCTATATGGTCTCAACTTGAACGGTTGAGCACCCTCTTTGAGAATGATCTGATGGTCATGGGATCTTGGTGGGGGTAGACCCTTAGGTTCTGCAAAGACATCTTCCAATTCAGCTAGCAATTCAACAACTTCATTAGGGACTGGTTCCTCTTCCCGTGGTTGACTCTCTGAAGTCACACATATACACCACAAAACCCCATAAGTGTGATTCCTGAACCACTGTTTTACCTTCTACCTTTCAACAAGCTCACTTCCCCATCACAACTACCACTACTTAGCGTTACTATCTGACCATTCCTGTTGAACTGAATGAATAGTGAGTTGAAGTCAAAAACTACTGGGCTATATTTCTTTAACTAGTCTACTCCAATCACCATATCACTTCCCCCTAGCTTCAATATCCTCACCTAGTGCTGGAACTCCAATCCGTCCATTCTCCAAATCAAAGGGCTACAAATGAACCTACTATATAGCTTTGTGCCATCAGCCACAGTTACTCCCAGGGGTTTAGTAGGCATCAGTTTGCACTGTAATTGCTTTGCAAGTCCTTCATCAATGAAACTGTGAGTGCTACCACTATCGATGAGCATAGATACTTCCCTATTCTTAATAAAACCCTTGATCCTAATAGTTTTGAAGCTCACATTACCAGACAAGGCATTCAAGGAAATTTTGATTTGTTCATCATTCTCCAACAGTTGACCCTGGTCATCTAGACCTTCCTTCTCTACATCTTGTATCAAGTACTCTTCAGAGTAAGATTCATCAGCTAAGATGAAATTAATATGTCCAAATTGGCAAACATGACTAGGGGTATATTTCTCATCGCATTTGTAGCACAGCCCAAGCTCCCTCTTAGTCTGAAAGTCCTTTGGCAAAATTTTTTGGAATTGAATTGGTTTTTTTTTTTGTAGTTAGGATTGGCTGGTTGGCTTTTTGGTAGTTCTGGAGTTTTTGAAGAAACAGAAGAAGAAGGGAACGAGTTCCATTTGTTGGAGTTTGAGGTTGAGTGAGTTGTGTTTTTCTGGGTAGGAAGTGTACTGGAAGATGGCTTGGTCATTGGTTTGGAGTATCGGTTAATGGCAGTGATAGTGATTTCTTGTTGGGTTGCAATTTCTATGGCCGAGGTCAAGGTATTTGGTTTTAGCATCTTCACCATGGACTTAATTTCCGCTTTTAATCCACTAGTGAAATTAGCAACATAATATGATTCAGACATGTAAGGGAGAGAAGCCAGTACCAAGGCTTTGAGCTCTTCAAACCTTTCCACATAAATTCTTCCACAACATCCCCTGGGGTTCCTTCTCCAAATCTTCTACAAATTTTAGTGGCTAACTCCCCCCATGGAAGGTCGTTCCTCCCTACTTGAAATCCGTGGAACCATATATCCGCTCTCCCCTTCAAGTACATTTCAGCGATAGGGACCTTTTGGTCCTTTGGGATCTGATGAATGTGGAAGTATTTCTAAGCCTTCCTCACCCATTCCCAGGGTCTTTCGCCTTCAAAGCTTGGAAAATCGATCTTGGGCAGTCTTTGTCCACTCCATCCATCACTCCTATTCAAGCTTCCTCCTGGGCTTCCATTTAAACTTCCGCTCGAATTTCCCCCCAAATTCACTCCAGATCCTTGTGACTAAGAGCCTTGACCGTTCCCAAGCCTTTGAGAGTTTCCCAAGGGTTGTTTTTCCATGGCGAAATTCTTAAAGTCCTGTGACAGTTGAGCCATCATGCTCATCAGACTGTCATACTTAGCATGCAAATCACCTACTGACCCTCCCAAGTTCTTAACCGCTGCTCCCAGATCTGTGACTTCTCTATCCAATCTCTTGATGTTCTCTTCTAAAGTTTTACTTCTAGTTTCTACCATTGCCGCAGGATCAACTTGCTCTGATCCCAATTGTCACCAACCCAAGCTGTTCCCAATGGCTTCTTGGCAGAAGTATCGGGATTCAACTTGAGGGGACAGAAATGAAGATGTAAATAAAGGTGGAGAGGAAGAAATGTAAAGATGGTAGAGGAATTCGTAGAGGAAGGAACTATTCCTTTCACTCAAGAAATTTGTTACAAATCAATCAAAAGTCACTACAAAAAATTATTTCTTTCGTGACAAATTTTTCATGACAACCAACCTATTCATTACAAAAACAATACTTTTTATGACAACCCATCAGGCAAATGTCCTTCAAAAGGCAAACATGTTTTTCTATTTATTTCATTGTCTAAAGTTACTTTCCTCACATCAATTCGTCAGAAAAAGCTTTCATTCTCCCTCCATTTTTTTCCCACCAGTTTTTTCCCCCGTTTTGGACCAAAAAAGAATTTAGAAGGACATCAGACTTATGACATAGAAACCGGGAAACAAAGAGACACTTTTCCCATATCTCTTACTTTTGGAACAACAACGACAAAGAAACACTTTCTCCAAATCTGTAACTTGTCTTCATATCTCCAACAACAAAGAACAACAACGAACTCTGAAATTGTCTTCATCTCTTTCAACAAGAGAGACAACACGATTGTCTAAGGTGATGTAAAAATCAAATAATCCTTCAATTTTGTCTTGAATCAGTTCCTTTTCTCCAAATCACCCTTCAATTTTGTCCTTAATTGGTTCCTTTTTTATTTTTACAGTGGGTATTTTATTCATCTCTCCCTTTCTCTGTTCGTCAAAACGTAGGAAGATGTTTCAATTCTTGTGCCCGGGGATATAATCAGTATAAAACTTGTTGATATCATTCCTGCTGATGCTCGCTTGCTCGACAGAGATCCTTTGAAAATTGACCCGGTTGGTATCCTGTTTTGGTTGCTCCTCCTATTTCCAAGTTATCAATTTTTCAGCTCTGCTCAAGGTACTAAAAGTACAATTGTGGAATTGGCAGTCGGCTCTGACTGGTGAGTCAATTCAATTTTTCAGGTCTGACTATGAATTTGCAGTCAGCTCAATTTTTCAGTTTTGTTACTTCGCTATTTAATAGAAAAGTTACAATTTTTAGCTTACCTTTTTGATGAAAGATCGATATTTCATGAAATGGCATTATTTTTTATACAATGCAGCTGTAGATTAAGAATATGTACTTAAATTACAATTAAGTTTCTAAATATTTCCTTGGGTTATATGTCCTGGTGCAAATATTGGTTATTGGATTAGAAGTGTGGTAATGTTGTTTGGATTTCACGGCCAAAAAAGAGGAAATTTCGACTTGCTTAGTCAAAATGGGTGTACTGTTGTCTAATCTTTTTTATACGTATGTCTACTTTGTTTGAACTACATTTGAGTGGCTTTTATATGAGGTAGTTGTATTTTGTTTTGGGTGAAGATAATAGATAAATTTCAGGTCAGCATGGAACACTGAAAGAAATTTTAAGACTGGCTATGGGGAAACCAGCAATGTGTTCTCAGTGGCTGCATCCTTGCTACTTACTGCAAGGATAGTCTTCGAACACTATTGACACTTTTTCCTATGCATCACCAATATAGAAAAAAATGAAGATGGCCCAGGATAATTTGGTGGTGGAGAAATCCCAATGTTGCAACAAAAAATGGAGCCTGTTAGCGACTTACCACGGCCTAAATCTCATTGCTTGAATCCAGCTTACTAACAGAGTTGAGATGTGAGAATTATGACAGCGATGCTAGTTGCTACTATGATTATCTATACTGGATGTGCGACTTCAGATTCTGTTGTTCTCCCATTTTCAGATTAAAGGTGGAATGGCGGGGTTTAAAGGACAAATTTCTACTGTCACAATTCTTGGCATTATGTTGATGTGCCATAGTTCTTCTCATTTGCCTAGTAAATGCTCTAGTAATACAAGCCAATGATCCCTCTGTAGTCTAGACCATTAAATCTTGTGTGGTTTTTTCCTTGCTTTCCAGCTCACTAATCACTTATAGGCACCTTACATTAATTCAGAAATTTGACAAATTCAGAGCCTTAACGATGCATTTTGCAAAAGTTATGGTAAGACTCTCGCGAAAAGTATTGTCTATTCCTTGAAGGAATAAACTAATGGGATATGACCTATATTGCTGTAAGAGGAAAGTTGTCGAGGATCGTTTGGTTTTTTGCAGGACTTCTTCATTAGGATATCATAGTGCAAAAACTATTTATCACAGCCTATCCATCATACCGAGTGTCTAAAGGTGGCTCGCAGCCATGTACGACAATCAAGAATTTGGGGCAGCCACGGTTCCTGAACTGTTAATCTGTTATTGGACTTGATTGGTCTGGAAAAAAGTTGCATGGCTCAATATTACAAAATGTACATTGATTTTTAACATACTCCACACGGGACTTACAACAAATTATACCACTATTAAATTTTTGGGTGAAAATAATAGTTGTACCATCTTTTGCTCTTTTCACAATTTTAGTTATATACATTACCAATCTTTACTCCATAAGTTGATCTGTGTTTTGCCCTCTCTTTCCCTCTTTTTTTTTTTGTCTAGAAAGGGATTGGTTCGAATAGAAGATCAATGGGATAGTTACAATTCTAATCAGGCTTTAGGAAGGTAATTTTGTTATTTTTTATGTTACAAAAAAAGATTTTTGATTGTTGTTGATTATGTATGATGATTTTCTTAAAATATCTAATTTCGCATTTCTTCATATTCAGCAGAGCAGACCTGCATTCTCACTACCTTGATAGAGAAGAAATGGAACAACCAGAAAAAAGATTGCATAATTTGAGGTACGTGGTTATTTGGTAGCTTACCATAAAGAATGAAAAGTGTTTATCATGACTGCTAGTTTCTTGCAAATTATGTTATGGTTTACATCCTTATTTGTGTAAATCAAGTTATGGGTTATGATGTTTAATGCTTTCTTATATACTATACAACAACATATACAATTAAACAATAGGAGAATAGTACAATTAGGAATGTGTTTTCAGTTTAATTGAGTAGTATACCCTTTGGTGTAATCATTGAATAATCTAAGTAGCTTGGAATTCATAACTAAGCCATAAAAAGTAGGTACATTGTGAATACTATGTTTTTTTGCCTTCTTTATCTTTTTATATCTAGAAATTGTCTTTCCTCCTTTTTGAGTTGTTCATCTTGACAATGCCTTGAGTTTAGTAAGTTAAGACTTTTCTTATTCTAGGTATCGGAACTGGATAAGAGCTAGATAAATTATCCAAATATTTTGTCAAGTCATTATAAGTCTGGTCTTAAGGATTTTATTGAATTTGCTAAGACCAATGGTATGGGATTGGATGGAAAATTATTTTGTCCATGTAGGAGATGTAGGAATTCAAAGAGAAAAAGCATTTCTCAAGTTGAATCAGATTTGTCAGAAAAAGGCTTTTGTATGTATTATAAAAATTGGGTCTTCCATGGGGAACCATTTTCTGCACACTCTTATATGTCAAGTGGAAAGAACAATAACCTTGATGAGAATGGTGTTGCAGGTGAGATAGATTTCCTCAATGAAGCTGTATATAATGACTTTGATATGAATGAAAATGGTGAATCTCATGAGTTACCTGATTTATTGGATGAGATAAGAAATGCACATGAATCAGGGACATCGAGTGAATGTGATTCAAAAAATTTTGACAAATTGTTAAATGATGCACAAAGAGAACTTTACCCGGGATGCAAAAAGTACTCCCTGCTGCGTTTCATTGTTTCCTTTCTCCATATCAAAGTGATGAACCATGTGACTAACAAGGCATTTGACATGATGCTGGAATTTTTAAAAGATGTGTTACCAGAAGGAGAAATACTTCCCTCCAGTTTTTATGGGGCCATGAAAATTCTATTTGGTATAGGTTTGGGGTATCAAAAAATTGATGTCTGCAAATTTGATTGTTCATTATTTTGGAAAGAAAATGAAAAGATGGACAAGTGTCCTGTTTGTAAAGAATCACGATGGAAAGTCAATAATGGCAAGAAAAAGAAAGTTTCACAAAAGATGATGTGGTACTTTCCATTAAAAGCTAGGCTGCAAAGACTTTTTATGTCTTCTAAAACTACTGAAGACATGAGATGGCATGAGGAGAAACGGGTTAAAGAGGAAGGTATCATGAGACATCCGGCTGATTCTACTGCTTGGAAGGATTTTGATAAGCAATATCCTGATTTTGCTAAAGATTCTCGAAATGTAAGACTTGGATTGGCCACAGACGGATTCAATCCATTTGGTAACATGAGCAACTCATATAGCATGTGGCCAGTTATTCTTGTACCTTACAATTTGCCTGCATATAAATTTATGAGAAAGGAATATCTTATGTTATCACTTCTTATTCCTGGTCCACGTGCCCCTGGAAAGGAGTTAGATGTGTTCTTAAGGCCAGTAATAGATGATTTGAAAGATTTATTTCATGGGATCAGCACTTATGATGCATATAGTGGACAAAACTTTCAAATGCGTGCAGCAATTTTATGGACTATATCAAATTTCCCTGCATATGGCTATTTGTCTGGATGGAGCACCAGTGGGTATAAAGCATGTCCATGTTGTCTTAATGATGCTGCTTCACAAAGACTAAGAGGCAAAATATGTTTCATGGGACATCGTCGTTTTTTGAACCATGACCACCCTTGGCGAAAGCAAAAAGCTCAATTTGATGGAACTATTGAAACACGCTCCAAGCCAAAGGAATTTTCCGGAGAACATGTTTTAAGACATTTAAATTGGTTGGCTGGTATCTTTGGTGAGTTTGGTAAGAATCCAGTTACTTGGAAAAAAGGAGTTGATAAAATTTAGAGTAATTGGAGGAAAAAAAGTATATTTTTGAGTTACCGTATTGGGAAAAACTCACCATGAGGCATTGTTTGGATGTGATGCATATCCTTAAAAATACATGTGAAAGTTTAGTAGCAACATTGTTGAACATTCCTGACAAGACAAAAGATACTAATAAAGCTCGTGATGATCTACTTGACATGGGAATAAGGCATGAACTACACTTACATGATGATGGTAAAAGGAAAACAAAGCCTCCAGCCTTGTATGTGATGTCTTCAAGTGAAAGAAAAGGATTTTGTGTTTTTTTTTAGTTCAATTAAGTTTCCTGATGGGTATGTTGCAAACATTTCCAAGTGTGTTAAAGATGGTAAACTGATGGGACTTAAAACACATGACTACCATGTCCTCTTGCAACGACTTATTCCAGCGGGTATTCGTGCGTATTTGTGCAAAGAAGTCAATGAGGCAATTTTTGAGTTAAGTAGTTTTTCCGAGATTTGTGTTCTAAAACCCTTAAGATGAATGACTTGGAAAGGTTGGAGAAAAATGCTCCATTAATATTATGTAAGCTGGAAAAAATCTTTCCCCCTGCCTTCTTTGACATTATGATCCATTTGATTGTTCACTTGCCAAAGGAAGCAAAACTTGGTGGGCCAGTACATCCTAGGTGGATGTTTCCATTTGAAAGGTACTTTTTCCTTATTTGTTTGACTAAAAATTTTGTTATTTATGTAACATTCTGTTTTGGGTAGAAAATTAACTCTTGCTTTTGAAAAGGTATCTTGGATCCCTTAAAAAGTATGTCCGCAGTCGTGCTCGTCCTGAAGGCTCGATTGCAGAAGGATATATTGCAAATGAGTGCCTAACATTCATGTCCAAATATCTCCATGGCATTGAAACAAAATTCACACGTAAGGGACGCAACTATGACTGTAATCAGGACAAGGCAGAGAAGCTGGTGGTTTTCTCACTAAATGTTCGCCCATTTGGACTTGTTAAACCTCCTACTAAATTATCTCAAGTTGAACTAGATGTGGCTCATAAATTTATATTGAATAACTGTGATGAAATAGAAGAGTACAGAATGTAAGTGCAATATGTATTTCAATTTTATATTTTAAATATTACTTCTGTGGTTTATTTTACTTTATATTGATAATACAATCTCAATTTCAGTAAGCATAAAGAGATGCTGCAAAGGATTCATCCTGAAAATGTTGACAGCAGACATGAAGATCAATTCAAAAAGTGGTTCAAAGATCATGCAAGTTATAAACATTACAAAAATGAGTTTATTAGTTATTGAAAACTGACTAATAGAGACTCGTTTTCTATTTTATAGATAAATCAGTTGCATATTGATAAATCAGTGAATGTTTCTGAAGAGCTGTGGGCATTAGCAAATGGTCCTATACCTTTCATGACAAAGCATTACTCAGGGTGCATTGTAAATGAAGTTCGTTTCCACACAAGAGATCGGGATGATTGCCGTACAACACAGAATAGTGGCTTAGTTGTTGAGGGTGACCATAAAGGAAAACACATTGACTTTTATGGCTTTGTTAAGGCTGTGGTTGAGCTGACCTTTTTTCATGCATATAAGGTGGTCTTGCTTCAATGTGAATAGTATAACACAGGTAGCACAAACACAATAAAGACTGATAGGCACTTTGTGACCATCGATATTAGATCACGTTGGTATCAAAATGATCCATTTGTTTTACCAAATCAAGTCCAACAAGTCTTCTATATTGGTGATACGAAGTTGGATAGACATTGGTGAATTGTACAACGTGTTCAACATAGGCATTTGTGGAACCTACCAGATTTGGAGGAGATACAAGTTTTTTAGATGAATTATTGCAGCAGAATAAAACAAGAACAATTGTGCCTATTGTTGAAGACGATGAACTAGGCCTCTTAAGCAGACCAGGTGTTGAAATTGAAGTTGTTCTGGAGAATCCTTTGCATACTTGCACTGGTGAAGAAGCGTATGGTGAAGAAGACAATGTTTTTAAAGAAGATGGCATGCTTATTGAATCTTCTGATAGTGATGAAACCATAGACATGGATATGAATTTAGATAGTACTTAAGAAATAGAATAGAAGTGTCAAGTGAAAAGGTTTTTTGCATTGATATCCTTTCCATGGTTTTAACTCTTTGTTAAGTTTTTGGTATAACTTAAATATTGATATCTGTTTATAATTTGACATTTAAATTTTACTAATTTGACTCCTTTTTTATCATATATTGTGTTATTGCAGATGGCACCTTCCGGAAAACGGTTGAAGAGAAACTGCCCACCCAATACCAACGTGCAATCTGAACAACAGCCAACTTCAAACTCAACTTTGGAGCATCAATCAGCTACCACAGGTGATGATATCCAGATTAATTCGAATAATAATAATCCTGCTCAAGCAAACACTAACGGTAAGTGAAAATGCTGAAAATGATTTAATTCTTGCCATTCAATGCATACATCCTTTTTGTGATAATTCATATTAAGCCTCAACTAGCATGTTTAACAATTGTTCACAGATCAAAGAAAGCAAAAAAAAGGCAGGGGCCCAACCACAGGAAAAGTTATCGAGAAGATGATATGAGCTAATGTATACAAAATTCAGTACTAAGATGTGTATATATATAATATTACTGTCTATTCAAGATTTTTTTTGTATAATCAGTTCCCTAGAATTTCTGTTGGGGTATACCTGAATGATGCTTCATTTGTTAATATTAGGGAGGCAAGCCATTGGAAATTGTCTTTCCTGAAGGATGTTGCAAACCAATCAATTATGTTGCTCAACTTGCTAGTGGTATAGGTTATGTTGTAAGGCACCTCTCTTCACTGAAGGACATACGCACATATGATGACATACCAAATGAGAAAAAACAGAACCTATATGGTGGCTTGATGGTACCAGATTACACAGTGTCTTTTATGATGACATTCAGCATGTTAATATTTATTTTTTGACTTGACCAATTCTAAAAATGATCCATTTCTTAATGGTAATTTATAGGGATGGTTAGACTTCAAAGATTGGGAAACTGATCCCAATGTTGAAATTTATGTGGATGACATGCTTCAGAATAGCTACAGGCAGTGGAGGAATACTATGCACATAGATTATAAGATGTTGAAGGCAGCTGGAAGAAATCCACTTACCTCATGCCCTTATGACTGGATTGAGCAAGATGAGTGGAAAAGTATGTGTGATTGGTTCGAAGATCCTATATTCAAGGTGATTGGTTCTAGTTTCGGTGAAAAATCTTAATCTTTTTTGCTGCCTTTTATGTTTTGTCTAACTGTGTTTTTGGTGTTTAATAGAAAAAATCAGAAGCCAATACAAAGAACCGTGCCATGTTACCCTATCCGCACACTGGTGGTTCAAAATCAAATCATGTTCGAGCACAAGAGATGGTATATTACTGATTTTTTTTCCATTTTGGCTTATATTTATACTATGAAGAAAACTAGAGCTAACTCGAGATTTTTGATGCTATAAAATAGGTTCCACCAAGTGTAATTGATGCCTGGACTGCTGCCCACATCAAAAAGGACGGCCAATTTGTGAATAATATTGCAAAATCTCTCGATGTAATTTTCCAGCTTTGTTTTTTATTACGAACAGGACATTTACATATATTAAACATTTCATGACTCCTTTAGTTATGTGAATCTAATATGTACAGGACGAGTTAAAAGAAGAGAGAAGACAATGCATAGAGAATGGAGAAACTGTCAATGAAGTAAAAATTATGGAAAATGTCTTAGGAAAGAGGGCTGGTCGTGCCAAAGGGTTGGGTATGGGGGTCATACCACCCAAAACTTCTCGTAAACCCGAATCTTTAGCTAATAGAGCACTACTTGAAGAACTAAAACAGTGAAAGGAGAAGATTCAGTGCTATGAGGAGCGATTCAAGCACAAGATACCCAAATCCAAAATCTTGTACAAAGCCAGCAAGGGATACAGGAAATGCTGCAAGAATTCCTCGTTTGGAAACAGAAGCAGTGTGGAAGGTCTTCCTAGAAATGGTGAGTTTGTAGATCTTTATTCAAAACCAATGTATTTATGTGCAATTACTTACTATTGTGGAACAACTTATGTTATGATTTGTATTTCCTGGTGCATTATTGGTTACCTGCAGCATAGTAATTATTCTGGTACAATTTAATGCATTGCTTGTACTCATGATTAGGTGGTCCCTAAGCAATTTGTAGTGATCATCGATACATCATAACAAAAATACATCTTTTGCATGCCATTCTATTATTTCTCTGATTTCAGATTTTTCTTGGTTTTATTGTACAGGTTTGGGATGAACTTGTGGATTGCTTTTGACTCATACCGAAGAACTCTTCTATTTTGATATCATCCATCTCTAGTATTTTGTTGACCATGGAATTAAAGTCCATCTTTTAGTTTTAGCATATATTAGGTATATGGCAGTTATCTAGGGAGAAATAGCAATATTTATATTGGTTTCAAATCATGGAATGTGATGATATGTAAATGTTTGACATAGTTAACTTTTGTGGTTTGACATATTATGGTTGCCTACTAATGATAATTTGTGAAGTTTTGGTTGATATTTTGCTTGCATACTTTTATATTTTGATTGGGTGGAGTGTCTAAATAGATGATATGGGATGGTTTAGTCGGGAGTTTTAATTTTTCTTGAAATTGGGCCTGTTGGCAGGGAGATTTCATCTATTTGTAAGGGGGAACTCTACCAAAAATTTTTTAAAAATAAAATAAAAAAATATTATTCAAAAAAAAAAGATACGGTCACTGTTGTCACTAAAATTGCTGGGCTTAAAAAGGCTGAATTGTCAAATTAGAAATTAATATATTATAGTGATGCAGCTATTGTTAGGAAAAATGACGTTGAATTGTCATTAAAGTTTCCCGACAAGTTTCAATGCATGACTTTTCTTGACAATCAAAAATTTAGTGACAAAGTTCAGGGTCTTTCCCGACAAAGGATCGTCAAGAATATGAGGTCTTTC